TTTTCTTTTCTTTTCTTTTCTTTTCTTTTCTTTTCTTTTCTTTTCTTTTCTTTTCTTTTCTTTCTTTTCTTTGCAGTCTGTGCCTCCTTCCCCCCTTTCCCTTGTTCTTGAACCTCCATTCCTGTGTTGAGTTTGGTGAGAGTGCACATACTTGCCTTGTGTTTGATCTGCGGAGAAAACAGCCCATCTTCCACCGTTAAGTGAGCTACGAGCTGTGGGTTTTTGTAGACGCTCCGTATTGTGTTAGGAAGTTTCCCATTTCTAGTTCACTGGGGGTTCTATCATGAATTGGGGTTAGAAGGTAACTGTTCTTGTGTCATTGTTGTTGTTATAGTTGACACCAAGACAGCCACATCAGTCCATTTGTTAATGAAATGGCACATGCTTTGCATATTACAGTTTTGAAATGGTCATAATTAGCTAAACACAGAAAAGCTATAGAATATGAGTGAAGATTGGGAGATTTGGGAAATGAAAATGACAGAACATGTCATTTTGCTTTCTGACAATTTTCTAGTGAATTCACTCTTATTCAAATGAGCTAAGATGACTCCCATCTTCATTACTCCTGCGGCCACAGAAAACTAGCATTGGTTCCAGCCATTTCTACACTTGTCCATATGACTGTCCTCCCCTCTGCCATTTCAAAGGGGGTATTATTTGGCTATTTTAGAGCTAAAGATATATATATAAATATGCTGTATATTTGGTATGCCTATCGCAGGTAGAGGGGGTCAATGGGGTAGAAAGAGGGACATCTCTAATACTTTCAACATAAAGATAAGTTTTAAAACTAATAATAATAAATAAACAGTGTCTCCTAATCCAGTTACTACAGTTCTCCTTAAAGCAGGCCTTAAATGAGGATGGCAGTAACCAACCGCCTGTAGACACACTCCGGCCTGCTCAGGAAAGGACACGTTCCTTCCACAGTAGGGACCGAGGGAGCCATGCAAGCTCTCTCTCTCAGTGGTCAGGAAGTGGGGATGGCAGGTGGCCACAGCTGGCCACATGCTGTTGACAGTGAAGCTGTGTGAGGTGTCTGTTGGGTTCCTCATACTATTCTGATTTTTATGTTTGGAAAGTTCCATGTAAAAAGTTTAAAAACCTAAGAGTCTCCTGAGACTCTGTGGCCTGTGATCTTCCAGCCTAAGTCAACGGTCCCACTGTCACACCACCCTCTGAGACACAGTGTCCAGAAAGCTTTGTCTGCAGACCTCTAGGCACAGACCCAGAGATGCCACTGTGATGCAGGAGGTTTTCATATTACAAAACAAGATAACTTTGCATTAAAGCTATTAACATAAATATTAATAATGTACTCTACAGAAAGGTCATGGGAAATGAGATACCACTTTAAAGCAATCACGTGGAAAATCACCTTCCAGCTGTTTTGAGGTGCCCTCCACCCTTCCCTTTGATTAGCAGTTGTTTGCCGAGAGCCTCACAGCTCCCGGTACATAATTACCCTTCAGAGCCGTCCACCGTGTCCAGCGTTGCTTCTGCTCTAAAATTATTGTGACCCTAATGCTCCAACCCACTTATGCAAAATGTCACTATTCTCAGGAGAGGAAGTATGGGGACTTCAGGTAACACCATACTCTACCTGTTCCCCCGCTGGTCCCCACAACACCAGAGACCCACAGAGCACTCCCAGGCCCCTGTGTGGAGACAGGACCTGAGGATTGCAGAATCGGGGGGCTCCTTCACTTCCCTGAGTCATACTTCGCTCTACTTTTTTCTTATTCTGGTCAGCTACATTAGGAGGTTCTGTATTCTAGTTCTGTTCTACTGGTACTTACCTCAAACTTCTAGCAAACGTCTATGAACCTGTATCATCGTGGCACTTATAAAGCTGAAAGTATCTTCCTTCTGTTTCCCAAATAAGGCGACACCTTTAGAAATCGTTCATTCCCCTGCTGCGCCAGGTTTTGGTGAGGTCCTATGGCAGTTAAGTCGTCGTACCTTCGTGCCCACTGTGTACCAGTCCTGTCTTAGCATTCACAGGCAGGCTGTCAGCTGCAAGTTTGGTTTGGTATTTATTTTGTTCTGTTTCCTGATTACAAAACTAAAGCAGCCTACTGTAGAACATCAAAAGAGAAAAGGGATACACCCACTCACGTGCACACTTTACTACCTTCTCCCTCTCTTGAGTTAATAAAATAAAAAAATTTTGATGGGAATACTAAAAGGTGGGTCACAGAGGGATTTAGTGACAGACAAAGCTAAAAGAAAAAAATTTCCCTCTTCTATAGTATTCCTTAATATAAGCAGCATAATTACTGAAAGTATCTAAAGATCTTTTCCTCTGCTTATGTTAAGCACAGCCTCATAGAGCCCCGTGCCCATGCAGCACTATGCACCTGTCCCTGGGGAAGGCTCAGGTGGTTCTGTAGGTAAAATACTATTTCAGGCTCAGAACATGTTCACCTTTACAATAGTATTTGGGAGTTCTGAATTCCTAATTAAATAATATTATTGCCCTGGTGGTTTCTCCCAGTGGTTAGAGCATTGGCCCTTGGACTGAAAGGTCTCAGGTTCAATTCCAGCCAAGGGCACGCACGTACCTTAGTTACAGGCTCGATCCCCGGCCCGTCGGAGCACATGCCAGAGACAACCAATTGGTGTATCTCTCTCACACCGATGTTTCTCTCTCTCTCTCCTCCTTCCACTCTTTCTGAAGAGCAATGGAAAAAAATATCCTCAGGTGAGGATTAAAAAACACACAGTATTATCAAGCAGAATATTAATTAAGCTCAAGCATTAATATCGTTCCTTCTTGAATCTTGTAAAAACCAAAGGAATGCATACTCTACTTGTATTGTGTAGCTACCTCTTTTTAAAAGGCATCTATGTGTAATATATATCCATGACATATATATGATACATTTAAGTCTTATCATTTTGTTCCTATTGCTACAATGTGAAAATTCAAATTTGACAAAGGAAGTCTTGTTAAAAACAAAAATAGATACAGGATACAAGCCAATTTTTAGCTTGCTATATACAAAATGAAAGAGACCATTATGTAATTTTGAGTAAATATTCTCAGATATGCTAAACAAGACACAGACATTTTCCCCTGTACGGAAAATTAAAGTAATCCAATGGCTCATTGACTTCCCATCTCCATGAAAGCAGGGTAACGTGTTTCCTAAATGAGTCAGTGTCTCGTGGTCACATGGTCTTTCAGAAGAAGTCCATGTGCTTTGTGGCCTTGAGTGATGCCATGGCCAGGCTTCCATTTCCTCTTCTGAAAAAAGGGGATGGGGCCACTGGACTTACCTCCCAGTCGTACTGTGACTCTTAAGAAAGCGCACATATGCCTAGTGGGCGTGGAGCATCAACCTAGGATCCCGGAGATTGAGGTTCGATCCCCAGTCGGGTGTGCGGGGGGCAACCAATCAATGACAACTCTCATCATTGATGTTTCTATCTCTCTCCCCCTCTCCCTCTTTCTGAAATCAATAAAGATATTTTTTAAAAAAAAAGGAAGAAAGAAAGAGCACACGTGAAAGCAGATCTGTGTGCAGAGCCTGGCACTCACCAAAAGATCAATGAAAGAATTTTGCTAAAATGAAACTTAATTACCTTTCTGGAGGTAGTTTCGCTGTACATGAGCAAAGCCTTAAGATAGAACCCAGAAGTAATTCTATTTCTATGAATTTACTCCCGGTGACCACCATTCTACTTTCTATGAATTTGACTCCTCTGGGTACCTCATATAAGTAGAATCAGACAGTATTTGTCTTTTTGTGTCTGTTATTTCACTCAGCATAATGTCCTCAGGGTTCATCTATGCTGTGACATGTGTTAGAATTTCCTTCCTTTTTAAAGCTGAATAATACTTCGCAGTGTATATAGACCACATTGTCCTCTGTTGGTGGACATTTATCTGGGTTGCTTCCACCTGGGTATTGTGAGCAGCATGCATCTCCGTGGGTTGGGTTTGAATGCCCTGCTTGAGAATGATGCTGCTCATCTTCCCATGACTCTGTCCCTCTGTCTTCTTTGGAGAAATGCCTGTTCAGTTTTAAATCGATTGTCTTTTCATTATTAAAGTGTAAAAGTTCTATTATTTGGGTCATTGCCAAGTGTAATTTCTGTAAGTTGAAGTCTGACTTTATTTCCCTCCAGGTGGCCAGTCACCCAGCACCATTTACTGAATAATCCACCCTTCTCTTGCCTTAGCAAGTATTTATTGAGCAGATATGTTGGCTTAGGTCCTAAGAAGATGATAGAATGATGCAGAGTTACATGCTGGTTAAAAGCAGACTTGTAGGCAATAATTACTGGTCAGCAAAATAGGTTTAAATAAAGGTTTATGAAAATCATCATGGTACAAATGGAAAAGAAATACTAATGTCTGTCTAGAGTTGAGGGAAGATGAACCAAAAAACAAAACAAAACAAACCTTGAGAATAAAAGAGTGAGAACCAGTCACTGCCTGGAATAAGAAACTTAAACACTGAAAACTGTTTTGCTAGTATCGAACAGTTACTCCACTGTTCCCTCAAGCTGTATTTAATGTAAACATTAAATTAATTACATTAATGTACTCAGTGTGAACGAGCAGCTGTCTTCTTTCGTGATAAAATATGTCACGCTCATTTCTTAGTGCCTTTGTACTTTATAGCCCCAGCCTAAGTATGTTTCTATTAGAACAATTGTCATTTTATAGTCACAGAAGGTAAGTAAATAGAAGAACCCATTTTCTCATGGATATATTTGAACTAACACGTGTTCATAGCTAATGAAATGATTTGTGCATACTGAGCAGAACTGTCAGCTCCCTAATGTGTAACGTACAGGATACTTAATAGCGCATGGTATCTGCTTTCCTACATGGGTTCAGTCACGTGCACTAGCAGGGGTACAGTTTTGTTTCGAAACTCATGTTGCTTATAGAAAGACTGTTCAGGCAATCTAACCTTTTCTTTTGGGTGATTACAGAATAAATGTGTCATTATTTTTGTATATTTGTTGTAGACTTACCAATTATTTTATAGTTATGTTTTCTATAATAGTTATCAAATGTGCCCAAAATCTGTGACTAGAAACTTTGACTGTATAAGTGGGAAAGGTCTAATTTGAGATATAAAGTACTAAATGTTCTATTTGTTTTTCTCAGTATACATTTTAATTGGTTTGCATTTAGCACTTTTTTCAGATTCTAAGTCGTCCTTGAAATTTAGCTAACGAACTGGAAATAAAACCAACAAGAGATATAGCTTGATGTAAACATAATCATCTCACCTGTATATCAGCATCTTGACTGCTTAATAACGGCTTTTGAAATATCAGAGTAAAGTGAACAACAGAAATTTAATTTACTCAGATCTAAAGAAATTGAATTGGTTTCTGCTTGTGATCATCAACCAAAAGAGCATATTAATAGATGTTAGGTGAGACAGTAAGAGTTTACTTTAAATGTAAGGTTAGCCTGGCCAGGCGTGGCTTAGCGGTTGAGCATTGACCTAGGATCCAGGAGATCTCAGTTCCATTCCCAGTCAGGGCACATGCCCGGGTTGTGGGCTCGATCCCCAGGAGGGGGAGTGCAGGAGGCAGCCAATCAATGATGATTCTCTCATCACTGATGCTTCTCTCTCTCTCTCACTCTCCCTTCCTCTCTCTGAAATCAATAAAGATATCTTTTCAAAATAAATAAATATAAGTTTACATTATATCAGTAATAACAAATAGCCTTTTCTTTATTTTTCCACAGTTCTTAGTGGTCTCTGTTCTAATGACTGTCCTCGTAAGATAACAGTAAGTAAACTTTCAGTTATAAATATTTCTTAGAAAATTCTTTGCATGATAGATACACACAAAATAGTTTTACAGGTTACAATCAAATTATTGCTCTTTAAAAGTGATTAAAGTATTTCTTCAGTGCTCAAGAAAATTTTACTGGGAATGAAGTACCTTTCCTAAAAGATTTGTCACCTCAAGTCTCACCTCCTTCAGAAAGCCTGTTCTGATGTCCTTTGGAAAATGCCACCCCTCCATTATTTCCATGCAGTACTGTGATTTAGGCATGTAAATACTTGTCCAGACTTACCTGTTATCTTTAATGTCTCTCCACACTAGACTGTAATCCCTTGAGGTCAAGAACGGTCATCTTTGTATACTTGGTATATCATACAGGGTTGAGCTATGAATTTCTTCAATGAATTTTTTGGTATAGTCTTAATATTGACTTGCTATCTAATGGAATGTTTCAGTGAAACAACAAAATGTGGAAATAATTAGGCTTGGTTTTTGAAATTGCCTATTCGTGTAAATTATAATAAAAATATTACATTATACTTGAAAGTGTGCGTGCGTGCGTGTGTGTGTGTGTGTGTGTGTGTGTGTATGTGTGTGTTGGTATATCCCTGCTTGGGTCCTCATGGTAACCTTTGTTTTATAAGGAATTATCCCCCATTTAAAGATGAGGAAACTGAGGCTCAAAGAAATTAAATTGTCCAGTCATAGAGCTATTAAGCAGTGAACTAGAATGCAGAGCTAGGTGTTCTGCCTAGTCCCATACTCTCATTACCCCACTAAGGCACTACATTACCAGCACCTGACATATGGCTGGGAGCCTCCCATATCTGAGACACATGTAGAGATTTAATCTAGACTCTATTTGGGAATAACACCCTGAACTAGTGAGGAAAGCAGGATTTGCGGGAGGAGGAACTAGTCAACGATACGTGGGGAACTGTGAAGCTAGGATGGTCCTTCAGCAATGGCTGCCATTGAGGGAGAGGGGCCAGGCCTTTGTACTCCTGTCTCAACCAGTCATTGCATGTAGGCTGTCCCCAGGAAGAAGGTAGTTTGTACAGGCCAGCCCCTCTGTGACTGAGAACATAATCTAGGTAGGAACCCAGCTGTGTGCTACCAGCAGCCAGTACTTGGACAGCTCAGGGACTCGGTGCCTCAGTCCTAGAGAGGAGGTGTGGACATTGCATCAGCGTATCCTCTGTGAATGCATGTGAATACCTGGCAAGACCCATTTGCCTTCCTATCATCATCATAATGTACATGGACAGGGAGCAGTGAGGAGGGGAGGCAGGCGGTCCAGTCTCTGTTTTCCACTTAATTTTGCTGTGAATCTAAAACTGCTATAAAAAATAAAGTAATTTTAAAAAATTAGAGCATAGATGTGATTAATCACAGGCTAAAGATTAACTTGGTTATTTGAGTCTCGCCTACCCAGTTTGTGAAGCATCCAGACCCTTTGTTCCTCCTTCCCCTCGTGGGCCGTAGCGCGCTGTGCGCCTCTTCCATTATGTAGTCAGGTAAAGAACTTCAGAGAGTTGAAACTGAGCCCACTTGTTTTACCCACAAGTTCTAGTGGAAAACTTGATAGGAAAGACTGTATAATTAAGGGAGGTTATACATCTGAGACCAACAGTGCTCCCATTCTGCTCGTCGTAAAGGCTGCCTGTGTCGTAGGGAGTGTAGAATCACTTAGGAAGCCCCGTACAGCCCAGCGAGCAGAGCTGTTCCCACAGGGATTACTTGCACAGCCCAGCACCTGGGCGCTTTTCTGCAGGTGATGCATCCACCTCCCACTCATCCATTTATTGCTTTCTTTGGAGTTCAGATCCTATTGAACTGCCCTTCACATATATCATTTTCCTTCCCCACTGATATCATAGATCACAATTTTATGACAGCCTAAAAGCAACAAATGCACACTGTACTGCCCCAGTATTCCATATATCAAGTGTGTGCCTGCCTACAGAATTACCTGTTTTGTGGAAGAGTGTGTTCGTGTTGCTTTGACATCACAATAGAAAGTGTTATAGCAGATGACCCAGTGTGAGACTAAGAGGGAAACACACAAGTCATGTGATAATCTTCACCATCTGAGTTAATTCACAAGTGCGTAGCTCTGCTGCTGCCTACGTGTTCCCACCTGACTCAGGCAACCTGTCTGATATATGGACGGAGGAAGAATTATTCAAGTCAGCAACCAATCCCACCCAAATTCCTGTATCTTCATTTAAAACCCCAGAGTCTCATTCTTACCCAACTTTAGCAACTCACTCCTTGGCCATACTCTGGACCTTATCTACCAGAACTGTTTTACTTTGGAAATCTCAATGCCATGTATCCAACTTTCTGACTACCACATATTTTTCTAGTCTTCTCACTCTTGTTACTCTAACTGTATCTGTTCAGCTTGAAAACCATTAGTCTCTTGATTTGTATCAGCCTACTCTTATCTTTACCTCCCTCGTTATTTAGTTCCCATGCATGTCATTTACCATTTCTGCCACTACCTTTACAACACTCTCCTCCAGCTGCATATGCATGGCCAAATGGCAGCCCTGTGTTAGTCCAGCTGTCTATCTCACTCACTCAGAACCTATGCTCCTGGGCATTTATGAAGAAAAATATGGAGCCCTGCATGTTGACCCAGAACTGACTCATAATCTCCAACCTCAAGTGAGCATTTATAGCTGTGTCATAGTCTCATATGGACTCCTGGACATCTTCTCTCCCATTCTTCTCTGGTTAATCTCACGGTTTCCTCTTTGAGCTTCTGCTGATGAATATGATAATCCTAGGTGTAAGTTTTTAGGTGTTTGTCGTGCTTGGTGTTCTCTAAGCTTCCTGCATCTGTGGTTTCATGTCTGTCACCAATTTGAGGAAAATCTAATGTTATTATTTCAAATGTTTCTTTCATTCCTCTCTCGCCTTTTCCTTCTGGTAGTCCCGTGACACATATGTTACACCTTTGGTAATTGTCTCACAGTTCCTGCATACTCTGTTTCACCTTTTCATTTGTTTTTCTCTTTGCATTTTCTCTTTGGAGGTTTCTGTTGCTATATCTTCAAGTTCACTGATTCTTTCCTCTGCTGTATCCAGTCTACTGATGAGCCCATCAGAACCATTCACTTCTGTTAGTTTTTTTAAATTTCTTCCATTTCCTTTTGAGTTTCCATCTCTCTACTTACATTAACAATCTGCTTTTGCTTGTTGTCTACTTTTTTCCATTAGAGCCCTTAACATATTCATCATAATTATTTTAAATTTCTGGTCTGATAATTCCAACATCCTGTATATCTGAGTCTAGTTCTGATGTCTGCTTTGTCTATTCAGACTTTGTTTTGTGCCTCTTAGCATGCCTTAAGATTATTTTTCTTGCCCAGCCGGGCGTGGCTCAGCAGATGAGCATCGACCTGGGATCTAGGCGATCAGGGTTCGATTCCCGGTCAGGGCACATGCCCGGGTTGCGGGCTCTATCAATGACTCTCTCATCATTGATGCTTCTCTCTCTCTCTCTCCCTCTCCTTTCTTTTCTCTGAAGTCAATAAAGATATACTAAAAAAAAAAAAAAAAAGATTATTTTTCTTGAAAGCCAGACATGCTGCATTGGATGAAAGAAACTAAGGTAGATAAGCCTTTATGATGAGATTTTATATTTATCTGACTAGAAGTTAGGCTGTGTTTACTGTTACTAGAAGTTAGGCTGTGTTAACTGTGCTGTCAGAGGCAAAATTTTCCTCTACTATCTTTTGTCTCCACTCATCTTTTGTCTCCCTAAAGAAAGAAATAGAGTCTGAGGCTTATTTACAGTTCTCCCTTCCTCACTCCCCTTCTACATCTCTGGCAATTCTTCCAGATTCCTTTATGGACTTTTCTTCTACCCATCCTTTAAGTATTGGTACTTCTCAGGGTTCCATTTTAGGTTTTCTTCTCTATGTATACTCTTTAAGTCATCTAAACCCCTCCCATGGCTTCTTGCCATTTGGACACTGATTACTCCCAAATTTGCTTTTCTGAGATGTTCCCTCCATATCCTTTTAAACTATCTTCTGTGACAGTGCATAAATGACAGGATTCTTTCATTTGAAATACTCTGCATTTACTGCTCAGTATAAGACAGCTCCCTCTTCATGGTTATTCTTTCTCTGATATGTCCCTTGAAAATTAAAATTTGCTCATAAGTTCTTATATAGGTTAATACTGAAATATCTATGTTTTCTGGTATATTCCACTTGCCTCTTTCCTGGTCAAAGCAATTCTGCTCCCACTCACATTCCATTAATATCCTACATGTCACTTATATACCTATATGACAGACAACCTTAAGTCTTGCTGTCTTAGTTTACAGTAAAGGATGAAAAATTGATAATACTGATGTAATAATAGTATAGGTTATGTGAAAACAGTTACACAATAAGTACTTTAAGGTCATACCTTTTAGAGCTAAATAAATTAAAATAAATATAAATATTACAGATTATATCATACAATTCAGAAAGCATCTTAATAATCCCAACTCAGATATTTCTCTGCTTTTCAACTCTGTGAAACTTCAGTTCTGTGAACTCTGACTTCACTCCTTTGTGTTTTTGTATTGGTTGACAAGGGAGCATCACTGATGTAAAAAATGCACCACTAAAAGCAACTGAAAAGAGTGAGAGGCGTTTTATTGTTTTTTGTGACTCAACTGAATTAATGGTTCTATTCTCTTGTATTCAGTCAATTCCAGTTATTATACAAAGGTTTAGGTTATACTAAATACTCTCCCAAGCAGCCAATTTTTATAATATGCACAAAGAGTAGTCCCACTAGATCAGTGGGTCCTCAGAGAAGGGTTCCCAGACCACCAATGTATGTCTCTCAGGCTCTGTTTATTTTCTTTATGTTCTTCATTTTTCTGCTTCTCAGATGGTATCATCTTCAATTTTGTTGATTCTTTCCTCTGCCAATTTAAATCTACTGTTGAGCCACTCTAGTGAATTTTTAACTCACTAGAATTCACTTTAGTGAATTGTTTTTCTCTAGAAGTGGGGTGTTTCTGTGCATGTGATTTTCACCTCTTTATTGCTACTCTATTCTGGTCAGACATTGTCCTCATAATTTCCTTCAGTTCTTCAGACATGATATCCTTTACTTCTTTAAATATATTTATAATAGCTGAGTTCGAGTTTCAGCCTAAGTCAAACATCTAGGGTTCCTTGGGTTCAGATTCTATTAACTACTATCTTTTTTTCCTTTGTATGGCCTATACTTTACTGTTTGTGTGCGTTGTAATTTTTTGTTGAAAACCAGACATTTTAAACAATGTGTTAACCCTGGGAATCGCTATCCTGGGTCTGTTGTTGTTGCTGTTTGTCTCATGACTTTCCTGGTCTGATACTGTACAGTCTGTTGTGTGTAGCCATTGGCATCTGTACTCAGCTTCATGGTCAGTGATTGATTAGAGAGAGGCTTCCTTAAATGAACAGTTAGGTGAGAGATTAGGGCCTTCTCAGGTCTTTTGTCTGGGAACAGTGTTGCATCTGTGTGTGGCCTACTAGATTCCCAGGAATATGTCAGAGCTTTTCACAGCCCTGTTTGAACATCTCATTTGCATTTTTACATTTAAGATTTGGTCAACATCTCATTAGCCCAAACTGATAGTACAGCCTCAGGCAGCATCAGTATAAACAATTGCTGAAGATTGTTTTCAACAAACAGTCCAGTTTGATAGGGATGTTCACAGAGCAAGCTCTCAATCTGGTGAAATAAAGACATGCTGAGAATGGAGCTTCTCAGGGAGCTGCCAGACAGTCAAATAGTGACAATTCTCTGGGGAGAACTGCTTAAAATATTTACTGTAATTAATAGACAATATTAGATCTTAGGAATGTCCCATAAAATGACTCACTTACTTTTCAAGGTTTAACTATTCCTTTTTATTGCAGCCCTTTGGAGTAAATCAGCCTGGGCCTTATATCATGTATACAACTGTGGATGCAAATGGATATCCAAAAAATGGCTCAGGTAAGACTGGGTACAAGTTCACAATGCACAGAAACACCTTTAGTCAATGTATTGGCAGGGTACAGATGACAGAAGTTATTCTGTTTTACCCTTTATAAAATCTTCACTCTGTGTCTTACACTTGTCTTTCTGTAGACTTACATCAGTAGATTATAAAAGGTCCTCATGGCAAATATATTAACATTAATTCCTCATATATCCCTATTGTCTCGGAGCCAAATCTTCATCTTTATTTTTCAGTTGAAGTAACAGAGATTGAGGGAAATTACATGAGTTACCTTGATCAGATTGTGAAGTGGTAAATTAGTTAGCAAAGCTCATTGTAGAAGTGAAAATTAGGAAATCAATCCACAGCCTAATCTAATCCCTTTTTTTTCCTAGTGGAATAGAAGCTGGAATCTTACATAGGGATAGTTTGATATATGATCATAAAGAAAAACTCTAGTTATACTTTTGAATATATAATAAAGGGAAATGCAATCAAGACAAAAAGGAAATAAGAGTAAGCAAAGGGTGTGCTTTTGACAGATGGTTAGAGAGGAGATCCAGATCACTGTGATCATTTCAACTCTCTCAATAAGAAGAGCAACCCTAACGATTAATGTGCTTCTCTGAGACGCCTGGAGTCCTAACCATGAAGAAGTATAAACAGAGTTGCTTTTATTCTCCATTTTTATGGACCCAGAATAAAGCAGAACTCATTATATGGCCATTCTTGTTATATAGGATGGCCCCACATAAATATACCAGAGTGAGTTTCCTTTTTAGATAATGGTACACATTTAAAACTCTAAGTCTTACTACTGCTTCAGCATAGAAACATAAAACAAAAGCTGATTAATTCAAGGAGAAATTGATAAAACAATTATAATCAAATACTTTAATATATGATGTTAGTCAAGGAAACTTAATAAATAAGCATATACGCAATTTGAACAAATTACTCCTTTACATTTTAATTTAGATACATGTTAAACCGTACCAAAAAAATTCCAGGACTAGCTGGTATTGTCTTTTTTTAGCTTGAGCAAACATTAATCAGGCATATTTTAGTGTCAGAAAACATAAATTGATAACAAAAGAAAATGGAAAGTGTGGAAATGCCCTCCTAGAATTTCCATGACATTCTTTTTCTCTGAAAGAATGGATTTTTGCAAGAGGAATTGTTCCCTTTCCTTAATCTCACATCAACTAAAGATCTGACAGGAAGAGCCAAGCTGACAGATATTGGGGTGGGGGGAGGCTTAGCTAGTGATGATAATTTTTTCTCACTGACATGTAAGAAAAAGAAGGAGGGAGAGGGCAAGATATAGAATAGCTCTAAGCAGCAACTGGTATATCCTCTTGATATAATTACAAAAATTGCATGATTGAGTGAATGAATGAATTACAAAACACAGAAAGTCTGAGAAACTATAAGAAAGTTTACAAATTATTCAGCTGTTTAGCAATTAGAAACCCCATCTGCACAGATGCAAATGAGTCAGATTCTGAAAAAACAAGGAGAGAAAATGAGAAATTGTGGTGCCAACAGGAACAAAAGATTTGCTTCATGAAATTGTTTCTTTTTAACAGTTTATGATTTTAATATTTGATGAGAGCAGTGTTTCCAGATATTTTTTGTTGTTTTTTTTTTAAATAAATTTAGCTGGACAACTGAGCCAGTCAGCACACCTAGCTCTGCAGCTACCCTACAACGTACTTGGCTTAGGTCGAAGTGCGAATTTCCTTGATCACCTTCATGTCGGTATTCCCCGCCCAGCTGGAGAGAAGGCGAGTAGAAGTGTATCTTGCTTACAACTGATCTATATTTTAATAGTCACTATTCAAACATTTAAATTCAATTGAATTGAACTGCAATAATTCAGATATTTTTATTCCCTTTAAAGAGCTAAGGAAATTGGTGGTGGCCTCGCTAACCTTTCCTCAGAGAGCACTTCATAACTTGAAGATGGCGCTTCCTGCCGCCTGTGCATAAACCTCATGACTTCCTAGCGCTCCTTCCTGCTTTTTCTCACATAATTTGTTTAATTTGCTTATTGTCAGACTCACCTCGACTGTGAGCTCCAAGCAGCATCCGTCTGTAGCACTTTGAACTGTGACTGCTACGTAAGCGTATTCAATAAATATTTGTTGAATTAATGCAGCCATGAGATGAAATGTAATCCTTCCCTGAAAAGATCAAAAACATTTTGCCAACAGGCCACAGGAGCCCTGTTTGGGGCTTAGCATATGTAAATTTAGCTTAATCCTTGCCCAGGATTTCAGTTCATCAAAAGAGCACTTGTCTGTTCCTTAGTTGTTTAGAGTGGTGTGTTTTCAAAATGTACTCCCTGTTATAAGTGTGCTCGTCAATTCTTTTTGCAGTCTGTACGGAAGCAAGAGTGGACTGCGATCATTCCAAATTCCCAGCTGATTGTCATCCCATACCCTCACGATGTTCCTCGAAGGTAACGTCCGCAGGAACTGAATTTGGTAAAATGCCATCGATTCTGAGTCACAGACACAGTTGCATCATTTGAAAACTCTCTCTTCCTGCTGTGTTCCCAGGAGAGCCAGCACTGAGTTCCCTCTAACAGACCCAACTGCTGGACACACCGACACAAAAGTCCCTGACATTCACTCAAAGAACAAATTAAACCTTATCAGAAAAACAGCAGGTTAACTAGTTAGGGATTTATACATATTCCGCTTAAGTAAATTGGTCTTCAGTTTATTAGCTATAAATTCTAAACTTTCAGGATGCTGATGTTTTTGGTAAGCATCGATCATTTTCATGAAAGCTTTCACAAGTAGAACACATCCCCCAGTAGTCAGGGAAAGGGCGAGAACAGCTCACCTCCGTGCACAAGCGTTTATTCTCTTGCTTGTGAATTTCTGGAAAACGCTGCTGAGTTTCTTCCAAAATCTCAACATGTTCCATGTTTCTCTTGCTCTTTCTGAAGAAATGTTCTTTCCAAATTTATGTACATAATAAAAACCAAATTGATTTTAGTTTGAGGTGTATTTTGAGATTTACTGGCTAGAGACTAACTTATAGATCAATAAATTTTAATTATCCCCCAAATAAGTCAGTTGCTACTTGCCCTTCATCATAATGATCTTGCCTTTATTAAACTTCTGAAATGAAAATATACCCAATACCTCTTTTGGGGAGAACAAAAGTGATTAGTGTGGAACCCCCCCCCCC